ATGCTTAAATGAGACACATGATATTCCTTAGCTATCTACTCTACTTCTTATTCATTTAGTAAGTGGTAGTAGTGACCCTGCTGTGAGCTAGATGCAGATTTAATCAAGCATAGATTTATTTTTACAATGGGGAGATAACTCTTACTTTACACTATATTATGGAAAATTGTAATATTACAATTTTTCGTAATGTACTGGACTGTATATTTCTATGTAAAACTTTGGTCGGCCATTTTGGCCCCGCCTAGGGGTCATGATTTGAACAAACTTGAATCTTATTACCTGAGCATGCTTCTATATAAATATGATGATTATGGCTTTGTCATTCTTGAAAGAGGATTTTTTAATAATTTTCCTATATATTTCTATGTAAAACTTTGTTAATTGATTTGAACAAACCTGAATCTACACTACCTGAGCATGCTTCCATATAAATATGATGAATTATGGCTTTGTCATTCTTGAGAAGAGGATTTTTTAATAATTTTCCTATATATTTCTATGTAAAACCTTGGTCGGCCATTTTGGCCTCGCCCTACCCCGGGGGTGATGATTTGAACAAACCTGAATCTACACTACCTGAGCATGCTTCCATATAAATATGATGAATTATGGCTTTGTCATTCTTAAGAAGAAGATTTTTAAAGAATTTTCCTATATATTTCTGTGTAAAACTTTGGTCGGCCATTTTGGCCCCACCCTATCCCCGGGGGTCATATTTGAACAAACTAAATCTACACTACCTGAGCATGCTTCCATATAAATATGATGAATTATGGCTTTGACATTCTTGAGAAGAAGATTTTAAAAGAATTTTCCTATATATTTCTATGTAAAACTTTGGTCGGCCATTTTGGCCCCGCCCTCATCATGATTTGAACAAACTTGAATTACACTACCTGTGCTTCCATATAAATATGATGAATTACAGCTTTGTCATTCTTGAGAAGAAGATTTTAAAAGAATTTTCCTATATATTTCTATGTAAAACTTTTTTTTACCCCCGGGGGTCATGATTTGAACAAACCTGAATCTACACTACCTGAGCATGCTTCCATATAAATATGATGAATTATGGCTTTGTCATTCTTGAGAAGAGGATTTTTTAATAATTTTCCTATATATTTCTATGTAAAACTTTGCTTTTGGACCCCCCTACCCCCGGGGGTCAAAAAATGAACAAACTTGAATCTACACTACCTGAGCATGCTTCCATATAGATATGATGAATTATGGCTTTGTCATTCTTGAAAAGAAGATTTTTAAAGAATTTTCCTCACGATTTCTATGTAAAACTTTGGTCGGCCATTTTTACAAAATGTGCGATTTGAACAAATTTTCTTCGCTACCTGAGAATGATTCCATATAAATATGATGAATTATGGCTTTGTCATTCTTGAGAAGAAGATTTTAAAAGAATTTTCCTATATATTTCTATGTAAAACTTTGGTCGGCCATTTTGGCCCCGCCCTACCCCTGGGGGTCATGATTTGGAATCTACACTACCTGAGGATTTTTCCCATAAGTTTCATCTTTCCTGGCACAGTGGTTCTTGAGAAGAAGATTTTTAAAATATGCCACCAAATTTTCATTAATTCCCAATTATCTCCCCTTGAATGAGGGCGTGGCCCTTCATTTGAACAAACCTGAATCCCCTTCACCCAAGGGTACTTTGTGAAATTTTGGTTGAAATTGGCCCAGCGGTTCTTGAGAAGAAGTCGAAAATGTGAAAAGTTTACAGACAGACGGACAGACAGACGGATGCCGGACAAAATGTGATTAGAAAAGCTCACTTGAGCTTTCAGCTTAGGTGAGCTAAAAATGGTTCTATCATTTAATTTTTGTTGGCATAGGGAGAAGACATATACCTTTATAGAGCAGTGTAAGAACCCCCTGTCTGTCACTCTGTTGAAGGGCCCCAACAAGCACACCTTGACCCAGATCAAGGATGCCATTTTTGATGGGCTTAGAGCTGTCAAAAATGCTATTGAAGATAGTAAGTAATGTTAGATCCACCCCTGTACATATTTACTGTAAACCAACTATTATTCACGTCATCTTTTATTCGCAGTTCGTAAATTTGAAATCAATCTGCAACGATTAATTTTCATGACTGAGGAAACATTCTCTACAAGCACTTAAGGAAAATGAATGGTTTGCAGTGATTACTTGTATTATTTGCGAGTTAGAGTCGAGGAACTGCATTTCTTGCACATTAATAAAAGTTGGTTTACAGTACATGTAAGTCCAGTCATTTCAGAATTTAGTGTAATCCTATTTATGGATTATCTATATCAGATTATTATATTGCTTCATATTTTATTTGTAAATGTTTACATTTTCGATGTGTTTACATTGTAGGCTGTGTACTGCCTGGGGCTGGAGCCTTTGAAATAGCAGCATACCAGGAACTGATGAAGTACAAGAATGAGGTCAAGGGCAGAGCTAGGCTAGGTAAGGGCAGATTATTATCATAATTCTTAGCTCTCGCAGAAGATTTTCAGTTAAAAATGCAATTTTATGCTTAATTGTGGCGTTCAGATGGGTTTGATCGCTGGTGCTGGGTGGCCAGATACACCACTTGATAGAGCACTTGCCTGTAGTGATTCAGGGGTCCTGGGTGTGGTGTCTTATCTTCGGTCCATTCCAATTTTCTTCCACCCTGTTAAATAATTATAATGATAAAATCTGGATATTGATTCAGAGATTGTATGCCATCTGATGTGATGTATATCAGACTCAGTGTTTTTCCTTACTCTTTTAAGGTGTTCAGGCCTATGCTGATGCCCTCTTAGTCATCATTAAAACCCTGGCCCAGAACTCCGGTTTTCTATTGTCAAACTCCAGGAGGAATACACAGGACCTAAACAAGCTGTAGAGAGAGATATTAAAACAGGTAAGATACATTCAATTAACTTGAGTTCTTTTTAGCATTTATCTGTGATAATAAAATAGAGAAGAGAAACATATAAAAAAGACAAACAAACAAAATTAATCACAGTATCTCTGACATTGTTATTTTATGTACTAGTATCTTTGAATGATAATGAAAGCAGAAAATAATTCTATTCATCACTGTGATTACATGTATATACCAATAGTTTTCCTGCACAATGTAAAGTCAAATTTTGATATTTGTTTTTGTATCAGGAGAAGCAATTCTACCACTGGATGCAGGAATTTTAGATAATTATAGAGTCAAGAAACAGTTACTACACTCTTGGTAAGTGTGACAAGGGCTGCAGTAAGAACTGCAAATTCTTCAGAAGTTTCGGCCATGCAAAGTTAATTCCCTGGTTCTCAGGCATTTTTTCAAGAAATATGAAGAGGAGGGAGGCATTTTTTTCTCCCTTTTTTATTGCCCCAGAACATGACACACACACACAAACACAAAAAATGATGAGGGAGGTGATTTGTTGTTTTTATTTTATTGATTTAGCAATAAAAAGGGTCAATGAGGCACTCATGGAATAGATGAGAGAGGGCCTGAGAACGAAGAAATTAATTTTTTATGGCCTTAGAATAAGTCTGTATTAGAAACGAAAAGAACATTTTTTGACTAGAAATTGATGTTTACTTTCATGATGTACATGTTTTATTTCAATGACTTTTTATTTTACAGTACTGTAATAGCGACAAATCTTCTACTAGTGGACGAAATGATGAGGGCAGGAATGACGTCATTAAAAGGATAGCAGTGAACATTTTACATAGAATACATTGATTTATCAGACTGAAATCCTGTGAAACTGAACAAATATCCCCTTTGTCATTAAATGTTTGATCAAATTCTGTCTTGCTTTTATCTGTTCTCTGGTTATTTTAGAAGGAAACTTAAAATTATGCCATCTATACCGAAAGTGATAATTGAAATTAATAAAGAGACATGAATGCTGCTGACGAATATGAAAATTTCAAGAGAAGATGGTATTTTAGTATTGTAAATTGTGGAATCTAAAATATCTATATTCCATTGAAGTAATAAATCATCCACTTACCTGGAATATGAAAAAGGAATCGTACTTTCTAAAGTTATTTGTAATGCTTGACTTGGTGAATGCAACAGAAAGTTACAATATAACGTTTCTATGTTAGGGAAATTAACTTGACAAATTGAAGTCATGCTTATCTTAAATCTTTGTTAGGTGACCACTAAAGTCTAGTCTTTCTAGCTAAATATCCAAGTATGAAACAGATGCGTCAGATTCTGTGAGATCTTATTTCAAGCTCAAATAACTGTGATATATCAACTTGACATATGAAAGGTAGTAACTATTGTTAATTGATGATACGTCGTCATCGATATATCTACATGTCAAGAAGAAGGCAACAGCAGGTGTTTTTGTCTCATATAGGAATATCGGAGTAAATTTTGCTTCATGTGAATACAGAAATAGGTCTGCTATAAAGGGGTGCACTTGGTACCCATGGGAATTCCAACAGATTGTTGGAACATCTGACTGATATTTTAGAGTCCATCAACGTCACCATATCAGATACAGCTAACATTTAAATTTTCATTTTCCATTTGATATGACAGGAAAAGACTCTTACTATTATAACTCTATGAATGTTCATGGAAACGCAAAAATGTTGCTTAGGGATGCTTTATGCCTGGACTTGGAAGCTTTATAGTGAGCGATTTTTCCTTATTGAAAGATAACATTCTTTGTAATCTTTGATTACCCATGTTTTACTTGTATTGCTCATTTGGAAGGGTAAGGCCTCATTTAGCAAAAATATGATTTTTTTGGTTGGTCTTCTCTCCAGGTGGACATACATTTGTCACCAACAGATAATAAAATGCCTTACTTACCCCTATCCCTTGTCCCCAAAACACACAAACATCCCATCGGCGTTACTTCCTTCAAGTGTCAATGAAATAAAAAAAAATGACAAAAGTATCCCAATTATTCGTACACATTTGAGTCACTGATATTATTCCGGATTTCATAATGCTAACCGGACGATTTTTGCTTTTAAATATTCTTCGCTTCCGGGAAGGAAAAAAATGGCGACATAAATTTTCTTGAAAAAATAATGTCAGGACGCCCTCCAAATGAAAGGTATAGAAACCTGATTAAAAACTATGCGTAAATAATTGAATTGTGAATATCAAATTTTAAGAAATACATACAGTTATTGTTTTCATTACACGTGTGCGATAGTAAAATCACGTAGTGTTGCATACACAGAACTCAGCACAGGGACTTGTCACGAAATATTTATCTTCTTTTAATAAAGTTACCCCTACTATAAAAATACACTATTTTTATAGTATTTATTTATTATTTATTTATTTATTTATAGTATTTATAGTATTTTTATAGTAGGGGTAACTTTATTAAAAGAAGATAAATATTTCGTGACAAGCCCCTGTGAACTCAGAAGTTCATGCTGTTATTTAATTTATTGAAATCACGTCTTTATTTCAAAGAACTCAATCCTACATTACACAGTCTTTAAAATCACTGTCTAAATTTGACATAAAAGATAAGTCCTTGGCATAATTTGCTCCAATCAATCAATGCTCATGTTACTTGCTCAAGTATTGAATTTCAAGACTTGACCAGATAGCATGAACATTCAATGACTGCATGTGAATGAGTTTAATGTATCATGGCATATGCTCTGTGTGTTTGAAATTATACCATGTATACTAATATGTTTTACGGTGTGACCGTTGGGGCGAGCGCAGTTGTACCATCAAAAACACTTGAGATCAGCCACTTCGAACGTCAAGCCGCACGAGACATCTCGACTAGCTGTGACGTCATACGACGTCACAAAGCTCGTCGGGGCTTACGGAGACAGCCGAGCATCTGTTTGAAACTATAGAACTAGTGCAATTTCTGTGGAAAAACATTGCAGTTATTTCTTGTTTCTTTGAAAGATTTCTACAAACTGAAAGTCTGATATATGCTTTACGTTATTATTTATTTATTTATTCGGCAATATTCGCGCAAAGGACATTGGGTAGTGCAGGAATTCTGGGAATGTTGCACAGAGAAATTTGGCTGACGTATGTACAGATTTCAATCCGAATTTCCTCTGTTCTTACACGTTAGTCTATTGAGCTCGCTTCGCGACGCTCGCTGCGCTCGCTATAAAACCTTTAAAGCTAGGCAGCGTAGATAGATATGTTAACAGGTCCAGTACAATCTCTTGATTTAGCTATATAGCTTTAAATAGCCATATAGCTTTATTAAGCTATTCAGTATTGCTTAATTTAGCTATTCTACTACACTTTTTTCTTAGAGGTGTAATTTTCTCAGAATGTACAAAAAAGTGCACCTTGGTGCAGTGATGATATACAACTTTGAACTCTTCTTAAAATAATGCATGTAAAAATCACTCATCAAATTACGTCTCCTTGAGAGACTTTGTACTCAAAGTTCTACAAGGTTTTGGGCTAACTAAAGCAATTGATACAGTTACTTCTGCAATGATATTATAATGGAGACCAATTATGTCCAACAAGATAATTGATTGGTAACAGTTCAGCACAATGAGAAGCAATCATACTTTTCTATGCCCAAGGCACCCAAGGTATTGGACAGTTACTCTAACAATAGAAATTATCTTTTTGCTTAAAAAGTATTCAAAAGCTGTAATGTTAGAACTATCTTTGATTTTGGTCGTTGTTTTGATAGTCCATAGTACAAATATGAAGAGTCAAATAAATGCGATATTTTTCAGCAAAAAACTTTTGTGAAAAACTAAATATAAATAGCTAAATAAAGCTATTTTGAATAGCATAATTCAGCTATATAGCTATTTAAAGCTACATAGCTAAATCAAGAGATTGTACTGGACCTGGTTAATGAATTATACACCTCACAAATTAATATGTTGGCGATGCAACCGTTAGGGCGAGTGATGATCTACTTGTTTAAAATTTAAATTGGGCTTGTATAACCACACATTGGTGCCTCTAGACTCTGGCGTCACATGATGTCCCATGTAAGAAGTCTTAACGGTGCTGAAAGTTAATGAAGAACCTTTCGTTTAAATTACTATTTATCTTTAATATATGTATAAAGTAAAGGCAAGATAACTTTTTTTCTGTTATTTTCATGAGAATGTAGCTCTAAAAAGTGATGCATTGTGGGTCCAGAGTAACGGAGGAAAAAAATTTTATTTGGATCAATGTGCAAAGTCTCAATTTTCTCTTCATCCAGTTGTAGCTTTAAGAGCTCGCAGTGACGAGCGGCGCTTTGCGCTGCTCATTGCGCTGGCTATAAATCTGCAATTTTTTTGTAAACTTTTCGGCTTTGAAAGTTGATACATATATATTATTATAACAGTTACTTGATCCAAAGGGTCGTATCACGTCGAGTTGACAGATGTAGATCATCAGAACAAATGAGGTGCGAAGCGTCAAGTTTGATCTGATGATCCGCGTCTGTCACAAGATGTGATATGGCTCTTTAGATCAATTTACTGTTATAAAGATAAATTTATTATATACCCCCTAATACAACTAGCTAAGTAAACTAAGATAAAACTTTAGAGGTAAAGAACTACGTACTAACTCTAACTCTTGATTCCCGCCTACATTTTTGCACCCATTAAATTCAATTTTAATGGCAATTTGGCCATTAAATCTTTGTTTAATACAAAGAACAGTTCTATGGTAATTGATTAATCATTTTAATTCCAGCGTTAGATAGTAAGTTATCATTAATTTCAGCTCTCGAAAAAAGGGGGGTAGACGATATTTTGTAGTGAAATCGAACTTTCAAGAATCACCATAATTTAAATAGTCTTAAATATGATAAAATGTATCTCATATCTTTTCTTATGTTTTACGCAAATAAATTAAACATATATAAATTAATAAAATACAATTATTTAGTTGTAAATAGCTTTAAAATTGGTGAAAGATCAGCATTTTTTCGTTTTTTGTCTATAAACATATGTTCCCCCCAGTGAAACACAACAAGCTTTGGCATAAATTTGTAAAATGACAGTTCATATTACCTGTAAAAAGGAATTTTTGTTTCACGGGGGGGGGAAAGATGTTTTAAAAATATTTTCCGTTTTCCATTGATTTCTATAGTGAAAAACTCAAGTTTTACCAAAACTATAGAGTTACCTCTCTTTGGTATCGCAAAAAACTAACGTTTTATTAAAATTCATACCTAAATATCAATAAAAATTTTGAAAATCATTCGAATATGTTAACTTTTGAGAATTTACTTAGAGGTAGGCGGGAGAACAATACTATCGTTCGTGGTTCTTATATAATATTTATCTATTACACAAACCATAATATCCAGAAACTTTTTAATGTGCAAGAAAAATAACGTCATGTTTCTGTGCACTACATCATCAGTTTCAGAGAGTGGTGATATGGACTTGGAAAACCACAGTTTGGTGATCCAGAAAATCGGATCAAACTCTGTAAAATTGACAGTAACAAAAACAAGGAAATTGATGGGTATATAATAAAATAGAGCATTGCAGGAACAGTAACTGACAGGACTGTTACATTCCTAGATTTAGCTACATCATAAGTACATGAGTCATAGTAGTTAAGTTTCCACCCAATAACCTGTTTGCGCCAAATGATTTCACACCATTCTCCTGTTCACCCTGAGTTGATATGCCCCTCAGAGTTTTCTTCAAACATACAGTATGCTTGATGCTTATTAAGCTAAATTCATTTGATCAGGGGGTCTTTAAATTAATATAATTAATAATGAGCACTTTTATATAAGTTGTCGATCAATAGGCCTTCCAATAATTATTTCCAATATTAATGAAAGATGTTACAAAATGTTCTTTCAAAAAAGGTATGTTTAAATTGTAAAAATAAATGTTTTGTTTAATCGTTTCAATTTTATCCCAACAACCTTCGTCAGTTTCTTAAATTATTAGCAAAGAAGATTTTAGATTACTTTATTAAAAAGTAAGTGTACTCTGAAGATTGCTTTAAATAGACTGATACATGTTAACTTTGCAATAAAAATCTTGCGTAGAGCACCAGATTTTTTTTAGTAAAAGGAAGAAAAAAAATTACCACCGGTACATGTAGTTACAAAACTGAATGGACTCACTCTCCTGGACTTGGGAGCGAGATTCCAATCTTTCTGACAAATTCGGAAATACCTAAGCTTTTAAGTGACAAAAATATGATGTCATATACATATAAGATCTCACATGATTTGTAGTTGGATATGATTTTTATCCAAAGAGTTGTGTGGTTTTTATTCCCAAGCCTTGGCGAGGCCTGGATAAAATCACACAACAAGTTGGATAAAAATCATATCCAACTATAAATCATGGGAGATTCATTTTATATCATGTTTAATTCATCACAATCAATGTTAAATACAATCTTTTATGAAGGACTACACTTTATTTAACTTAATCGCTCTAACGTAAAACCCATTGTGACATCACAACTGTGGGATATCAAAAAAAATATCCAATGAGTCATATCCATGGGATAAAGGGGTAAACACGGGATAAAAAGTCATATTTACTGAGGATACAAATGATAGTTTTGTGGTATGAAAATTGCATTAAATCCTTGGGGTTTTTTTGTTGTTGACATGCTTAAACCACCATGTTGCTATGCACTACGAAGTATTATTGGGAGTTTAGAATTATTTCATGTGGACTGATAGAAACGTCCTTGAACAATGTACAGATTTTCAGTGCAAATTTCCTCCATTCATACATGTCTCTGGAGCTCACTGCATGAGCTACGCTGTGGTTGAATCTTGGAAATTTAGACATATATACAGAGAGGTGGGATCCTTATTTAAAAAAAAAAGTCAATAATATTTGGTCAAATAGGACTACATTTCTATTGTTTATACACAGGTACAATACTGGTAATAAATCAAAGTACTGAGACAGTACTGAAAGCCGGGGTCAAAATAATTTTCATGCTAGATTTCACAATTGTGTTTTTTTTTTTTAACGAGTTTCGATAATTTTTTTTAATTAACAAACTAAAAACAAAACTGTGAATAATATAAATTCACGTTTTTCATTTAATTTGAAGTAGAAATTTCAATAATTGCTAATTCTAGAAACCTTTTTGAATTGTCCG